GTGTGTGTGTGTGTGTGTGTGTATGTGTGATTTCTTTGTTGATGCTTTCATTTGTATCAAGAGTGTTAATGATTACTTGTTAAGACAATTTTATGAAAGCTGCTTTAAAAACTCTTGCTAAATATTTCTAACTTCTGAGTCATCACAGTATTGGCATCTGTCTTAGTTTGCTCAGACTATTATTACAAGATACCACAGATTAAGTGTCTCAATAAACTTTTATTTCTCACAGTTCTGGAGGCTGGAAAGTTTAAGATCAAGGTGTTGGCCATTTCAGTTCTTGGGGAAGGATCTCTTCCTAGGATGAAGATAGACACCTTCTAGCTGTACCTTCACATGATAAAAGGGGAATGTTGATCTCCTTTCTGATTCTTATGAAGATATTAATCCCATCATGGTGACCCCACACTCATTACCTAAACTTAATTATCTTCCAAAGGCTGTACCTCCAAATAAAATCATATTCGGGGGGTAGAACTTCAACGTATGCTTTTAGAGGGGAACATAAACATTTAACCTATAATTAACTTTCTTTCCTAATTCAAGTTGTATTTTCTTGGCTCTTGATTAGATGATTTTTTTAAAAAAATAGTTTATGATTTATTATTATTTTATGTGTATGAGTGCACTGCCAGCATGTGTGTAAGTATACCTGTGTTGTGCAATGCCCACAAAGTCAGAAGAGGGCATCAGAGCCCCTGGAACTGGAGTTATGGATGGTTGTTAGCCACCATGTGGGTGCTGGGAATCGAATCGGGGTCTTCTGCAAGAACAGCCAGTATTCTTAACTGCTGAGCCATCTTTCAAGCCCTAGAGGAGTGATTTTTAAGTACATGCTAGATATTTGAGGTATTAAGACATGAAACATGTGATTTATCAAGCCGATGTTAATTCTGGTCAGTTTCCTTGGAGATAACTGAAGGTTCTTTCCAGGACTTCATATGCAACATTTCTTTCTTCAGATCTATTCTGCTCATCTATCCCTACCTTCACTATAGCTGGGAGGGTAAAGAGCACTAGCTCCCCCATTGGCCTCTGCTGACACCATCCTTGTAGGGCAATTGAACTACTCATTAAAAGTAGTAATAGTTACTGCTGCTCACTTGCCTCCACAATGCTGGTTCATACTACATGTTGCCACTAGGGTGGGAATGGAAGAATAGATTTCCTATGCATCCCCACTGACACCACCTCATCAGGGAGAAGTTAAAAACCAACCGGGTGTTTCGAGGCAGAGTACAGGTATTCCAGTTCCCTATCTGGTTTCTCCTTATACCATCCTAGCAGCAGAACTAATCTTCTACTCCTGGGGAAGGGTATGTGTGTGGAAAATCAAGCTGCATACTTGGTTTCTTCTGGTTCCACACAAACAGGGGAAACAGAGAGCAGCTACTGGGCAGAGTGGAAAAGCAGGCTTTCCTCTCAGCTCTCACTGACACCACGCAGAGCCCTGATTTATACCATCTAACTGCCATTGGGAGGAAGTAAAAGTTCAGGTTTCCCAATTTCTGCTGATCCTGGTATAGGAATCAGAGTGCAGGTTGCTATTACCACCAAGGAGAAGGTAGAAGTCTAGACTCCCTATTTGACTTCTACTGGTAATGAATGAGTATGTATGAGATAGTGGTCAGGTTCCATGGTCTTTGGCAGAAAGAGCAAGCTTCTCCTTAAGAGTATTTTAATAATAGTATTTTAAAATCTGCTACTTGGGTCAGGCATGGTGGCACATGCCTACAATCCAAGCACTTGGGAGGCTAAGGCAGGAAGACTACGTTTGAGTCCAAAATGGGATACATACATGTTCCAGGCCACCCTGGGCTATATAATGAGATCCTGCCATTAAAAAAAAAAAAAATCAAGCCAGGTGTGGTGGCACATGCCTGTAGTCCCAGCACTTGGGAGGCAGAGGCAGGCAGATCTCTGTGAGTTCAAGGCCAGCCTGGTCTACATAGTGAGTTCCAGGACAGCTGGGGCTACAGGGAGACCCTGTCTCAAAAAGACAGGAAAAAAAAAACAAACCCTCATATGTTGGCATTTCTAGGATCTGAGATTTTTCTGGTGTTCAGTCTGGGATACACAGGGCAAAAAGAAAACTCAAGGAACACATTGCCATGTCATTCCTAAAGCTCTAAGATCCCTATTCAATTTGCCATCTTTTTACCACTTTTAAGAAATGTTCTACATTCTATAAAAACTAGTTATCTTTTAATTATCTTTAATGGGAGGAATAGAGAAACATGAGCCTGCCACATAGTCAAAGGGCTCATAGATTTTCTTTTAAGTTATGCTTTAAAAAAATAACTTTTTTTTTTTTCGGTCTTTTTTGAGACAGGGTCTCCCTGTAGCCCCAGCTGGACTGGAACTCACTATATAGACCAGACTGGCCTTGAACTCACAGAGGTGCACCTGCCTCTGCCTCCTCAGTGCTGGGACTACAGGCGTGCACTACCATGCCTGGCCTCAAGTTATTTTACAACATTATTATTCCATTCCCTTTAAAAAAAATTTTATTTATTTTTATTTTATGTATTGCCTGCATGTGTATTAGTGCACCTGTGTCATGCGGTGCCCACGGAGGACAGAAGAGGGCGTCAGATCCCCCTGGACCTGGAGGTAAGGATGGTTGTCAGCTGCCATATGGGTGCTGGAATTCGAACCCGGGTCTTCTGCAGGAACAGCCTGCTTTTGACCACTGAGCTATCTCTCCAACCCCTATTATTCCATTCTTATTATAAAACTTCTGGGTAAAATCATTCTCTCCTGGCTTATACTAGCTAGAAAGTACATCACACACCTGTTCTTCCTTTGAATTCTCCATCTGTGCTCCTTCCTTGAATTTGGCCAGGGCGCTCTTGAGATCCTGAGATGTGTAGGTGTTGGTGTTGATGTCCAGTCTGTCCAAAAAGAAGCTGAGAGTCAGGAGAAATGCACTATTCCCCAAGAAAGAAAGTGCCTCTAGGTGGCTGGCACCCAAGGTCAGCTAAGCCAGGTCAGCTCTAACTCATAAGACACCTCTGCCTTCAGACAGCAAGAAGTCCAACAGGGTGAGCTTATTGTGAAGCCAGAGAAGAAAAGCAAAGCAAAAAGTGGAGATATTTCATGAGAGAGAAGGAAGGGCTATAGGACAAGTAAAAGCCATATTAGTTCCTTTTCTGTTGCGGTGATAAAATACCAAGAACAACTTATAGAAGGAAGAATTTATTTGGGCTTATAGTTCCAGAGTGAGAGTCCATAATAGGAGCATGGCAGCAGTAAGTCAGATCAGGAAGCTGAGGGATCACTTTTCAACCACACATAGGAAGCAGAGACAGCAAACTGGAAGTAGAGCGAAGCTATACACTCTCAAACTTGCCCCCAGTGACATACTTCCTTCAGCAAGGCTCCACATTCTAAAAGTTCCATAAATTCCTCAAAGAGCACCACCAACTGGATATCAAGTGTTCAAATACATGAGTTAATGGGTGACATTTCTCATTCAAACCACCAAAGAAGGCTACCCTGAACTTTAAAAGCTTTTAGCCAGCTGCTCAAACAGAAACAAACCTCTAGTTCTGAGTAAATGTACTAGCAGAGCTCCCTGGAAGGCGGAGGATTCATAGATAGGGAGTAATCTCAAGAATCTGCAGAGACTAGAGTGGTATCCCCACAAAACACCTGGAGCTGGTCAGTCTCTGCCATTAACCTTGACTAGAGAGAAGACTTTCTGAGGGAAGGGGGCAATGTCTTATCACACAGCTTAGACAAATGAAGAGGTAAGAACAAGAGTGATTCAGAGAAATGGACATATGGTGAAACACAGAGAAGGAGATTTCAGAGGTCAGAGAGGAAGGGGCTAATGTCCTGCTCTACTCCAGATTCTAGCAGGTCTCAGCCTTATGAGAAGGGCATATACTCAGGGCACTTCTCATTCAGCCTGACTCATCGTAGAAATCCTTTAGGGCTCTGTAGAAAATACCTGTTTTCTTTAAACTTCAGTCCCAAACTAATTTAATATAGCTAATCACTCCCATTTTTTGAGCACTTAAGTATCAGCAGTGGGTTAATCCTTTGAAAGTGGTATGTCTTTCAAATGGTTACCCCACAAAGTAAGAACAAATAATCTCATGTCCCTCTCTCTACTGCCAAGTGCATGAGGATGCCACTGTTTTGCCCCCATTTCTTAGGGAGCTATGCATTCAAGAATCATAGATAGGACATATCTCTTCTCACAATGGCATGACACTTCTGAAACCATAAACCCAAAGAAATAATTCTTCTAAATCTTGGTAAAAAATAATTCTATCTTGCCTTATATCCATTTGCTACCTTCAATTCCACTCTCTAAGGCTATGAATCATCACTAATTCTCAGACATACAACTCTACACCCATGTGCACATATAAAAATCACCATCTGATGGTCTAACTTTATTCTTTGCTAAGAAAATGGATATGGGGCTGAAGAGATGGCTCAATGGTTAAGTGCACTGGCTGCTCTTCCACTGAGTTCAATTCCCAGCACCCATATGGTGGCTAACAACTGTCTATAACTCCAGTTCCAGGGGATCTAACACTCTGTTCTAGCCTCTGTGGGGCAATGCATGCATGTGGTGCACTTACATGCAGGCAAAATGCTCATACACATAAAATAAATAAAAATAAAATATATGTAGCCCCAGCTGACCTGGAACTCACTGTAGACCAGGCTGGCCTTGAGCTCACAGAGATCCGCCTGCCTCTGCCTCCTAAGTGCTGGCATTAAAGGAGTACGCCACTGTGCCTGGCAAATAAAATATTTTTAAAAAGATAAAATGGATGTTATTATTAAGAATGCTCTTAGCTGGATATGGTGGTGCATACCTTTAATACCAGCAATTGGGAGGCAGAGGCAGGGGTATCTCTCTGAGATGGAGGTCTGCCTGGTCTACATAGTGAATTCCAGGCTAGCTGGGGCTACAGAGAGACCCTGTCTCAAAACAAACAAACAAACAAACAAAAAGAATATTCTTATTATCCTGTCACTATCTCTCAGCCAACCTGTACACTTCAATCCACATTCTATGACCCTTATATTACAATGAATGACAATGTCCCCATTCCTATTAAACAGAACCTGTTTGCCTTTACAAAAGCTTTAACTCCCGTAATTATATTGCTCTCTCCTGCCTACATCAGTAATTTCTTCTCTCAACTGGATTATCCTCATCAGCAAACTAGCACTTCTTTGACTCTTCTAGTTAATGTGTCATTTCCCTGATCCTATATAAAGGTTTTCTGAACATGCTATCTTCACTCACTAGCCTCATCTTCTTAATTTCTATTTATACTGTCATTTGCTTTAATCTAGATTCTCTCCTAACATTAACACTGATTTTTGTTGTTGTTATAGTTTGAGTTTCTCATTTATTTTTGTTTTGAGGCAGGGTCCCTAGAATCCCAGGCTGGGCTCAAACTTGCTGTGAAGCTCTGAGTATGACCTTGAACTTCTAAGCCTCCTGCTTCCACCTCAGACTGCTGGGATTATAGGCATGCTCCACAACACCTGCTTTTAAATTTTGCTAGGGATGAACCCGGGACTTCATGCATGCTAGGCAAGCATTCTACCAACTGAGTACATCTCAGTCCCATACCATTAACACTGCTCATCAAAATTACCAATCACTGATGATTAAACTCAATGTATTCTCCACTAACTTAATGTTCCACAATCACTCAGAAACATTTACACAGTATGTCCCTCCCTTTTTTTAAACTCTCCTTTCCTGACTTGTTTCCACAATAGCCTGGCTTCTTATTCCTTCCCCATCTCTTTGATGATTCCTCATCTCCTCCTTGAACACTCTATGCTGAAATGGCTCATAGTTTTGTCCTGAACAACCTTCTCTTTTCCATCCCAGGGTGAGATTTTCAAATATGTATCTGCCAGTGATGTCCACACTAATATCTTTAGTTCAAACCTATGCCCTGAAACAGCAGGCTCTTACACAATTGCCAGGATTAATCTTGATTTTCAACTTGATTTCATTAAGAAATGTCTAGAGGATTCATAAAGCACACCACTGCCATGGAGTACGTCTGTGAGGGCATTTCTAGAGACTATTAGATCATGAGAGCTCTAACCTAACCAATGGATTAATTTCTTGATAAGATTCATAATATAGTAGCATTTGGGGGAGATGATGGAAGATAGAAAGAGAAAGTAGGTCATTGGGGGCATATCCTTGGGGGCTACATCTTTCTGGATCCCTCTGTTCTGCTTCCTGTTCTCTATGATGTCAATTGTTCTGCTCTGCCATACCCTCCTTACCATGGTGATGTGACATTTCTGAAACCATAAGCCCAAATAAATAATTCCTTCCATAAGTTGCTTCTTTCAGGTATTTGGTCATAGTGACAAGAAAAGTAACATACTAACTGATGTAGCTAAGGTCTCTTTTTTTTTTTTTCTTTATAAAAATAATTACATATGCTGGGCTTGGTGGTACATGTCTTTGAACCCAGCACTTGGGAGACAGAGGCAGGCATATCTCTGTGAGTTCAAGACCAGCTGGGGCTACAGGGAGACCCTGTCTCAAAAAGACCAAAAAAAGAAGTTACATATATTTATTTATGGCAGGGTCTGGTACCATAGTACATATATGAGGGTCAGAGGTCAGCCTGCAGGAGTCAGTTCTCTCCTTCTACCATGTGTGTCTTGGGGATAAAATTCAGGTTATCAGACTGGCAGCAAGCATCTTTATCCATTGAGCCAGCCAGCCAGCCCGCCCAAGTGGGTCTCAGATGTTTAACACATACCTCAAATTTACTGAATCTAAAACTTAGCTCTTAATTCTGTTTCTATAAGTTTATCCCACTCTTAACTTTTCTATTTCAATAAATAGCACCTATCAGTACTCAGTGGCTCAAACCCCCAAACGAGGCCTTATTCTAAATCTTCCCCAGTTCCTTCAACTTCTATATCCAAGTCATCAGCATGTCCTATTGGCTCTGCCTCCAAAGTAAATCTCTAAATACACCTACTATCATTATGATACTCTGGGCTTAGTCACTATTGTGTCTTGCCTCGTCTACTGAAATGGCATCCTGTTAGCCTTTCTTCTTTCCCCTATCTTCAATACCAGACACAAAGCAATTACAATTATTTTGCCAAACTATACTACATTAAGTCATTCTCTTGCCTAAAATCCTCCACAATAATGAAAGGTGAATGGAGAACATTCAGTATGTTCCCTGAGAATGATGCTACATGCTGAGCCCCGCCCTACATACACCTGCCTCGCCATTCTCAGTGCCTGTCAGTCTCCCTCCATTCTCCTCTACATCACTTTGATCATTTTCCTGCTTCTCAAACCTGACAAAGCCAGGGATGATTCTTCTTGCTCCATCTGTCTGAAATGCTATAACCTCTACACTTCTAACCCTAATCCTCTGCAGAACTAAATCCTCTTTCCTTAGGTTTCAGTTCAAATATGTTGATGAGACTTTCCCAAATCATCCCCTCTAACCTATTCTCCTGCAGAGGCTCATCACCTTGCTCATTTCTTCCTTAGTACTTACTATAATTTGCAATGATCTTATTTGCATGTTTATTTACTTTGTTTTCTACCTGTCAGCCTTCATAAGGCCTTCATTCAGCTTACGGAGGCTGCCACTTTGCCTGTTTATTACTATATTCCCAATGCTTGGCACATACGGACTCAATTAAGTCTTTATGAAATGAATGAATATATCAAGCAAACAATTAGTCTTTGGCCCATTTCTTTACCACTATACAGTATTGTAGCATGGCAAATTCCCAACCCAAGATGGAACAACTTGGATGTAGTTAAGTTTGTCCTTCACCCTAACATGGGAGGAAGATCCACAGAAGAGTCCAGGCAAAGAGATGTCCTATGGAGATGTTGACAGGTTATAGACTAAAAATTCCCCTATGCTTTCTATGCCTAAAAATATGCCTGAGGTCAGGTAGTGCCAAGACAACCTTCTGAGACAACCCAAAGGCAAGGTCTCTGACCCAAGCCTTGCAGCCCAGGCATCATAGCTCTAAGTAGTAATATGGCCAGCAACAAAACCAGCAGGACCACTGGAAAGGCTTGACTCACCCATCTCTCTATAGGCCAGTGTCTTTTTAACTCTTAAGTTTACCAACTTATCTGACAATCAGATAAGTAGAAAAATGCATCTTCCAAAACAGACTGAGTATCAAAATACTGCACTAATTTCAGGATACTGGCTCTGTCCTTAGGTCTCTGTTCTTAGGCCACTGCTGAACAGTCAGGAAGACATAGGCAGTAGAACAAGAGGAGGGTAGGACAAGGTCCAAGAGGAGGAAGTTGCCAACACACACACACACACACACACACACACACACACACACACACAAGGGGGTGGTAACTGAGCTCAGAACACCAAATATCTATCCTATTCCACCTTGTCAATGCCTTTGGCTTTTAACAGTTGAGAGGGAAGAGGAAATGGCAAGCATATCCTGGAGGCCATTCTAGGGCAGAGCCCTCAAAAACATTCCAAAAGAGAAAAGTACAGAGGAAAAAGTAGGAACAAGTGTTTCTCCTTATGGTGTGTCTCTATAGACCACACAGAAGGCTTTCTATTCTGAAATGAGCAACAGACAAAGCACTAAGAGTTCCTACTGACGATCTGCAGTCAGGTAGTAGGAAAGTAGCTTCCCATGGCATATAAAACAACACATAAAAAGTTTCACATTAATCAAGCTCCTATAATATTCTTTTGTTTTGTTTTGTTTTGTTTTTGTCTTTTTTTTGAGACAGAGTCTCCCTGTAGTCTCAGCTGGCCTGGAAATCGCTATGTAGACCAGACTGGCCTTGAACTCACAGAGATCCACTTGCCTCTCGAGTGCTGGGATTAAAGGCGTATGCCACCACACCTGGCCACAACCAGTGTTCTTAACCACTGTGCTATCTCTCTAGCCCCCCAAGTCTTATTTTCTAACGAAAAAAAAAAAAAGCCAATCTTCTCTTGGCTTAAGAATATTATCAGAGCTGGAGAGATGGCTCAGGGGTTAAGAACACTGACTGTTCTTTCAGAAGACCCAGGTTTGAATAACAGCACCCACATGGCAGCTAACAACTGTCCGTAACTCCAGTTCCAGAGGATCCGACAGCCTCTTCTGTCCTCCTCGGGCATTACACAACATGGGTGCACTTACCTACATGCAAGCAATACACATGTACACATAAAATAAAAATAATAAATAAAATATTTAATAATAATAAAAAAGAATATTATTGCCAGGTGTGTTGGGGCATGCCTTTAATCCCAGCACTTGGGAAGCAGAGTTAGTTCAAGGCCAGCCTGGTCTACATAGTGAGCTCCACCTGAGGGAGACCCTGCCTCAAAAAGACCAAAAAAAAAAAAAAAAAAAAAAAAAAGAGAGAAAAGAAAAAAGAAAAAGAAGTCCTAAAAGTACTCTGAGATGCTATAATATGCATATATGTGCTTTCTGGAGCTGGAGAAAGGTTAGTAGGGGTTGCATAGTAATATCTGAATACTTTTTGTCTGGTTGTGAAAAAAAAAATAATTATATGGCTTAGACAACTGCAGGTATAGGCCTATATGTAGAGATGGGGAAGAGGAGAGAACTTTCCCAAACATCTATAAGGCAGAAAACGCCTCCATCTCAATATTAACTAGGATCTTTGAACTGTAAAAACTGTCCAAATCTGACCATGCTGTTTTGTAGGGTTGTAAGTGCCATTTGACTAAAGGTGCACAAGGATCAGCTAAACGGCCTTTTGGTCAGATATGTCAAGCAAAAGGCTCAGAGAAGAATTACATCTTGGGGCTTGAGAGATGGCTCTGTGTTTAAGAGCATTTGCTGTTCCTTTTAAGGTCAGACTTTGCTTTCCATCACCTGTGTCGGGCAGCTTACAACCACAGGTTACTCTAGTTCCAGGGGATCAGACATCCTTTTCTGCCCTCCACAGGTACCTGCATACAAGTGGCATATACACACACATACAACACACACACACACACACACAAACACACACACACACACACACACAATTTTAAAGAATTTTTAAGAAAAAGAAAAAAGAATAAGGTCTCTAAAGTCCCTTTATAATTTATGTAACTGTAAAATTCATTAAACTAATAATCCAATAATTGAGATGGGTCCATTCAATCTATAATTAATTCTCAATAACTTACATGTTTCAGAATGGGGTCCACAAACTACCTGTAATAATCAGTTAATATTTCTTTTTTGGTCTTTTTGAGACAGGGTCTCCCTGTAGCCCCAGCTGGCCTGGCACTCACTATGTAGACCAGGCTGGCCTTGAACTCACAGAGACCTGCCTGCCTCTACCTCCTGAGTGAGTACTGGGACTAAAGGCATGTGCCACCATACCCAGCTTAATATTTAAGTTTTATGGGCTCTGTTTCAACCACTAAACTTTACTACTTTAGAAAGCAGCTATCGACTATATGTAAACAAATGAGCACATGAATTTCATGTAATTTTCGCAAGTCATGAAATATGATGCTTCTTCAGATTTTTCCAACCATTAAGAATCAATTAGCTTTCTGTTCATACCAAAATGGGCAGCAGTCCCAATATGGTGATCATAATTTGTTGGTCCTTGTATTAAAAACACTACATGTAAATACTGAGGCTTCTAGAAATCCCATGCCCCACTCTCCTTGCCCCTCATTCAGAAAATACCAAGCAAAGAAAATTTATTAATTCAAGGCAACGAACAGAAAAGTGAAACTGTTAATTCTGTAAAATCAAATAACCTAAACTGTTTATTAAAAAGTTAGGGAACCTGTAACCCCTGGAGAATGTAGTAGCTTCTACTCCTAGACCATGAGAAAGTCTATTTTAACACTGACTAATAAGAGGAAAAGTTAGTCTGAATTAAAGACTTTAAAATACAATTTTATTGTTCACTAAGGAAGTATTACTGCAAAGCAGAAGGCCTAACAGGCCTGTTTTAATGAATAGATGACTCATCTGTAATCAACACATTAATTGTTGGGATTCAAATGGGTGCTCTTAAAGTACTGGGGAAAACAGCTTCATTTTTAAAGCAGGTTAAGCATTCCCTCTACAGCCTTTTTCCAAGTATCAATTTGCTTTGCAAACTGTTTCTTTCCAAAGATTGCAGAAGTAAACTTCCATAAACCTGTGACAGATTTATTACCAATTCTACACTATTAAATTTAAAAGTTAAAAAAATAAAAGGCACATGAATTTGGGTAGCATTTCCAGTATTTCAAAATTAATGTGACCATTACGGTTCCCTGTCTCTAGGGTCAATACTATACCTTCTTCCTTTTTTCAGTCCTTTCAAATCACTTTGGAATTTGTCTTCTTGTTGGCGTTTCACCTCTCTTGCTCCAGTTTGAAGATTCAGTCTCACATGGGATCCTGCAGGAACAGCCTGACCTAAAAGAAGAAAAGTTTCATGAGGTACAAGCCCCGTGGGGGACACTGGGATGAAATGGCTAGGTAACATGCCAACAGGACTAACCAGTTCATAATACTATGTCCAATTCAAACCTCTTCCACCCAGCTCTTTCTCTCCTTCTGAACCTCACACTCCACTTACATACTCTTTTTACTACTCTATAATACAGTCTATAAGGAGCTAAGGAAAAGTAGGCAAAAAGATCCACCCATAATCTAGGGGCCAATACCCATTCATTAGAACATGATAAACTATTTTGTATTTTCTTTTAAAATATTTTGTTATTTTTATTTTATGTGTATGAGTATGAGTCTATTGCTTGCATGTATGTAAGTGTGCCCATGTCGTGCAATGCCTGCAGAGGTCGGAAGAGGGTGTCAGATCCCCCTGGAACTGGAGTTAGGATGGTTGTTAGCTGCCATGTGGGTGCTGGGAATGGAATCCAGGTCCTTTGCAAGGGCAGCCAGTGCTCTTAACTGATGAGTCATCTCTCCAGCCTGCTATTCTGTATTTTCTTTAAATTTGGCTAATAAGCCTTTTTATTATGTGCAGTAGATAAATGGGGGATAACTATTCAGCCCTCAAAACATGGAGACATTATGGTCTTCCTCAGGAATCATTCCCTCTTGCCCCTTCCCTGACAGTTTCACATATCTGAGATGACACATAATGTCAGGAAGCTTTGCACCTCATCACCCTCATTTTTTAAGCCAGGCTCCTTTGCAGCTCTCTCCTCCCTGATCACAGGAACTATATCTCTTCCTTTTGGATTTCTCCAGTCCTTATGCTAGAGCTTGGCACATAAAATTTATGGCTCATAACATTTATAAGAACGAAGAAGGAAGCCAGTGGAAGACAGCAGGACATAGCAAGCCAAGGAAGTAGGAGGTGGAACTAAGAGAAACTGAAAAACTACACCTACTTATCTCAGAGGAGCAGATCCATTAGCTGGGAAAACAAGAGTTATGAATGGATGGGTTATTCATATACAATGCACAAAAGTACTCAAGTAGAGTTTAAAAGCAACTGTGCACTATCACATACTACAAATAGAATGCTACACGCATTCACTGGAAGTGTATTTATTAGACAACGATTATATACAGACTACCATGGTAGGTTCTAGAAATACAAAAATGATTATTTTATTTTATTTTATTTTTAACTGTATTATTTTATTTGTGTATGTGTGAACTTCATACCATATATCAAATGTCCTTTGGTGTGGATTCATCCACTGGAGCCTGGTTAACCTATTAAGAATCTGACCATTAAATGAGACTGACTCTCCCCTTCTCAGCAGTCATCAGTTGCCTAAGGTAGGGTTGGGGTTTCTTACTCGCTATCCCAAACCTATTTTGAGATTTTGTCTGACTTAACCTTACATGGGACTTGTTCATGGTGTGAGCATAGCTATGAGTTCCTATGAGTAACTGACCAGGAGTCTGGAAAACTCTGCTTACTTGTGGTCATTCACCTCTTCTGGCTCTTATACTCTTTCCATCAACTTCCCAACCCCCAATGATCCTTGAGTCTTGGGAGGCACAAGTTTGATACAGGTATCCTATTCAGGGATAAGCACTCTGTAGCCTCTTAGTCTCCACACATTGGCCAGTTGTGGTTCTCTACTTTATAAGGAATCTTCTCTGCTGAGAGTTGAGAGATGCATTAATCTATGGGTATAGCAATAAGTCATTAGAAATCAGTTTAAAACACTATCTATTTAGCAGAATAGCTGTATTAGGCTTTCTCCCATGGTCTGTGGGCTATCTAGCCTCAAGCTCCTAGGCCTGTTATCAATGTCAGGTATGGGTTCACCCTTACCACTATGAAGTGGACCATGGATCCATTAGAAAGTATTTGGTTACTCCTATATTCATGCCACTATTGCATCAGTAGGTATATCTTCCAGGCTAGTTGCTGTAGCTTACAGGATTCACATCTGAGTAAGGAAGGTTCATGATAAATTTTCTCTTCAGATAGCTTGCATAGCACCTTCCAGCATATGAAAGCTAGGCAGTAGAGATGTGGAAAACCATTCCAATGGTTTTCTCCTTCCACCATAAGGGTCTCTGGACTTGAACTCAGATTATCAGGCACGGAGGGCAAGTCCTTTCATCTACTGAGCCATTTCTCTGGCCCATATTATGTGAACTTGGTAAATCTTTTTATTTCTTATTTATAAGTGTGTGTGCACTCCTGCTTGTCTGTACCATGTGAGTGCAGGTACCCACAGAGGCCAGAAGATGGCATCAGATACCATGGAATTGAAGTTACAAATGGTTGTGCGCTGCCATGTGGGTGCTGAGAACTGAGCCCAGGTTCTCTGCAAATGTTCTTAACCACTGAGTCATCTTTCCAGCCTCTTAAAAAAATCATCTAATAATTTTTTTAAAGGAAAAATATGAAACAAAACAAAGAACTCCAAGGGAAAAAGTTCTTTTTCCCCATCTTCCCATCACTGCTTTTGTCATGACCACTACCATTTCTCATTTCAACATGAGCATGACTACCATCCCACTAGTGCCCCACCCCTCATAAATGTGCATGCGTGTATGCATGTGTGTGCGTGCACGTGCACCCATATGCATATGAAAACACAAATCTATGTAATCCCTTTGTATTAAACCTTTTGGTGGCTTCCTATTGTTATAGGGTAAAGAGGAAAATCCTCACTTGGTCAGAGAAGCCTGCCAACAACTGCGTCTGCAGACTTGTCATCCCTCACTCTCTGTCTCCAGGCATACTGGCCTTTTCCCACTCCATGGGAGAATACACTCCCTCCTACTAGAGGACATTTCATCTGCTATTCCCCTTGCCCAGAATGTTTTGTTTGGCCCTGGCCTCTGTCTTCTCAGCTCTCCAATCCAACCTAAGGGTCATCTGCCTGAGAGACAGCCTGTTTCCTCAGACTAGATCCATCTGTCTAAGGGCTTTCACCACAAAATGAATCCCTTTTTATGGCAGGTATCACAATCTATATTTACAGTTCTTAAAATTTATCTGGTTATATCTTACCATTTTCTCCCTAGGGATACCAAATGGCTAAGTATATGCTGATTATTTGTTCAGTGAAAATTTTTAATATGAAAAAGGAAATCTTGGCTGATCAATGTTAGGGTTAAAACCTACAGCAACTCCCTCCCCAATGCAGCAGGGCCTCTGAGAATGCAGGAACTGAGTTAATGAGCACCCTGATCTCAGATGACCAGAAAAACAAATTCCACCTTTTGACCAGAGACTTGCAAGGAGTCACTTCAGCACAGCATGATTCCTTTTTGATGATCTTAAAGGATAAATAGACTCTTTACACCTTTGACCCAGATCCTGGCTGATGGAAGAGAACTGAAGGGGGCAGTTTGATGGAGGCTACTCTCTCCTGATAAACCCTGCATGCCCGCCCCCCACCTGCCTAACTTTTCAAAATATTTTCCTGCCTTCCACTCCCCCAAAGCCCCCTATAAAAGATCCCCAGCCAACAACCGGGGGAGGGACAGCTTCTTCCCAAAGGGAACTGTCCCGTGTGCTTTTTCCTCTACTAATAAACTCTATCCCGGTTTTACCTACCAATCAACAATACAGATTTTCACTAGTGCAAACAGTCATAATAATTAGTCATGGTAACAGTTATTTTTAGTAATAACGTACCAATGCGTATAATAGCAATAGTAATATCTTAAATTTTCTGATTTGATCAAAACTAAAATGAGGTGAAAAAAGGACATGCATTTATAAGCTTCGGGTAGGCCATAACAGGTTAGACCATGCTTGGCTAGCCAAGGAAGAGACTAAGATCTTATGTTAATTATTTTATTTGGGAAAAAATTCCAAAATTACTATAGTCACATAAACTACCCCAGGGGCATTAACTCAAAATACAGGTTAAGCTCACTTAAGGTATATGAAACCAGTCATGGCAGGAGCAGTAACAGAAGTAACAAAAAAATACAGCATTTCAAATATTTTCACCCAATTAGGAAAAAGGTCAAGTTAAAAGTGTAAGCCAACCTGCATTTTTAGCTTCTGTAAAGGAAGGAAAAGTAGCAAAAAGTACACTGGGTAATAGCAAAACAGGCAGAGAAGTCACAAGACACATCCAGGAAAAGAGGGAGGGGATGAGGATGGAGGACAAGAAGACAGGTAGATAGACTGGGATACTTAATGCACATGGGTCTTCACAGTCTGCAGTGACTACAGCCCACAACCAACTCTTTGGAGACAAATCACAAGGCTGAGAAACTTCATTTTTAAATAAAGGCACCTCATGCTTGAGTTTTAAGTCCACTGGGACTGTCACTGCCTTCTATCATAGGCTCTGACCCAGGTACACAAGTCCTGCTCTTTACAAGAGAAAAATCTGTGGCAGACTGCAACACTGTCACCAGCTTCCTACTTTCCTGCCTGCTATACTAGACCATATGACTATACAGTTCCTCCACCTGTTGGGAGACTGTACTTTCCAGCCTTTCTATTTTGAACTTGGCTTAGATGCATTGGTCAATGGGATACTAACAAATTTGTTATTTGGAATATGCTTTTATAGTTGACTTGTCCTTCAGTATTCTGTTATTACCATGAGAAAAACTTGCCATTGCTAGCCTTCTGATCTAAAACAATTGAGAGACCCATGAAGCCAATGTAGATGCAAACCACTGATTAGAGATAGGTTAAGATAAGCCCTGACACTATCAGCCAAGTCTCACAGATCTCTAGAAATGTAAACAATAAGTATTTTTAAAAAATTTACTTTAAATTCATACAAAATTGGGCTAGAGAGATGGCTCAGCAGTTAAGAGCACTAGCTGCTCTTGCAGAGGACCTGTGTTCAATTCCCAGCACCCACATGGTGGCTAACAACCATCCATAACTCCAGTTCCAAGGGATCCCACACCCTCTTCTGACCTCTGTGGGCATTGCATGATATGGGTGTACCTACCTACATGCAAGCAATACATTCATACACTAAAATAAATAAATA